CCATCAACGCTCCCAATCCGGATCCTTCAGGTTTCGGCTTCTTCCTCCTCTCCGAAGAGTCTCTGTTGCAGGTCTTGCTCGAGATGCAGCGGCTGGATTGATGGTCACAGCACAACAATCCAACGCATCATTGTCCAGTCGCCGCAGGGAAGATGCAGCTAGGCACGGTGTTTAAGGAGACATATGGGCTTTGCTTATGATTAATCATGAAAAAAAGGAGCTATGTGGAAATCGGAATGGTCTCAATGAAATTGCATTGACTTGTCTTTTTCTCCTTTTTTTGGTTGGCTGGCCGGCTGGTCGCTGGAGGCAGTACTCATTGTGAAACTAGCTAGGTTACACTGCTCACTTTTTCTCTAAGACAATGCCTTCTATGTATACCGTATACTCCATTGCTTACCTCGTGTTTATGGGGTTCTGGATACCGGATGGGTCCAAGTTTTGACCAATTGTAGAGCTCAGTATATCAATCGCATTTTTTGATGTATTTTAGTTTATTATTGTGTTTATGATATGCATTTAGGAGTTATCGGTATGCAGATCACTAGTCTTTAATAAACACATCAGAAACCTCCTAATGCAGACCACAAACGTGATAAAAAAAACCACAAAAAAGAAAACCAGAAACCCCCTAATGCATACCACAAATTCTCTAAAACAAACCAGAAACACCACAAACCAAACCATAAATATTTTGAAAGCACACCAGAAACCTCATAACGCAAACCACAAACACGTTAAAGCAAACCAAAAAAAACAAACCAGAAACGTCCTAATGCAGACCAAAAATCTACTAAAACAAACCATAAACCCCGCAAAGCAAACCACAGAATTTTAAAAAACACACCAGAAACCTCATAATGCAAACCACAAACACGATAAAGCAAACCACAAAAACAAACCAGAAACGTCCTAATGCAGACCAAAAATCTATTAAAACAAACCAGAAACCCCGCAAAGCAAACCACAATTTTTTTTAAAGCAAACCAAAAACTTCTCAATGCAAACCACAAACACGATAAAGCAAACCAGAAACTTCTTAATGCAAACCACAAACACGATAAAACAAACCACAAAAGGCTTACAAAAATATGAGAAACCAAACCATAAATCTCACAATGCAGACCATAACATCCGGTGGTCGTTGGCCGTTGACCGGTCAACGAAGACCGTTGACCGAACTCCGATGACCGTCAGTGAGCAGATTCCGACGCCGATAGGCATATTCCGGCCCCGATGACTAGATTCCGACGCCGGTAAGCATATTCCGACGCCAGTGAGCATATTCCGACGCCGGTGAGCATATTCCGGCGCCGGTGAGCATATTCCGGCGCCGGTGAGCATATTCCGGCGCCGGTGAGCATATTCCGGCGACAAAATAGTATATTCCGGCGACCGGCGACCAGATTCCGGCAACCGGTGGCCGAATTCCGGCGACCAAAATTTTGGGCCGAAAATTAAAAAATATTTTTTTTACTTTTTTTTTATTTTTTTATTATTATTTAAATATATTTTTCATAATGACAATTATACCCCTGCTTTGATTTTACACTAGGTCAACTCATCTAATAAAAAGTCATCATAATCCTAGCTTCCTATTGGTTGGAGGCTAGTGTTGTTACAATAACAACACAAAAGGTGTTGTTATAGTATCTAGTCCCCACAAAAGGAATATATCGAGTTCGGTTTTATTTGTGTTGGAAAAAAGATAGAAAGAAATATCCACGGTTAAAGGTGGAGATTTTTTCTTTTGGAGGATGAATATTAATCAATAACATGCACAATGGTGTTTCATTAGGGAGAATGAGGAGTAGGCTACATTTTTATGTCTTTTGGTTGAATTTTGTTTTGGAGTGTAAGTAGCATGGATTAGATGACACAACAGTGCTTCTGTATGAGACTGAGACGAATGGGGAGTAGGGTTAAGAATCTTCTCTGTGTCTGTTATTAGTTTTGAAATTATTTTTGATAAAAATATTTGGATCGTTTGACACATAGATAGGTGGTTAGTTATATATCGTCTTATAAGAAATGTTTGTCTAATAAATAATAAAGTTTGTATCAGACTACTATTGGTTATACTTTTAGCTAAGCTAATTTAGTAGGTTTGGTGGAGTAATTTTTTTACTGTTAGATAATGACGTGGCATGGATTTGATGACACAATATTGCTTTCGTATGAGACGAGTGGGGAGTAGGTTAAGAATCTTCTGGTGTCTAAGGTTAGTTTTGAAATTATTTTTGGGGTTTAAGAACCTTGTAAATCCCTTTGCAAAGGTAGGCGACTTGCTATAATTAGTGTTATCTCATAAGAGGAGTAGGTCTGGTGAATGACGAGATCAATTTTGTAAATATCAAACCCTTTTGCGAAGAATAGAGTTTCTAAAAATCTACAAAAAATCACAACAATGCAGGCTGTGGGGTTCGAACCCACGCGCACTTATGTGCAGAAGATCTTAAGTCTACCCCCTTAACCTCTCGGGCAAACCTGCATATATTAATAAGTTGTGGAAATGTAGTATAAACACCACTAAAACGAAGCGGCTACAATATAGTGGTTATTATTTTCTTTTGTTAACAAGCTAGAGTTATTATCATGCATGTATTACCTCAATTTTGCAAATTAAAAGGTCTTTCATCTATATTTTTCTTCCCGTGTCTCATGGTAAAAATTATTACATTTTGCTAGAAATAAATTAATTGACTAAAATGGTACAAATGAATCATAATTGGTTGAGTTGAGAACAATTAGAATCTTCTATGCCTGCTAATCAATTGCAATACACACTTATATTGGAGACTAGTGCTACGTACTAGCCACGAGAAGGCATTGCAAACCAAAACACGAAAGTGACCCAACAATAGGTAGCTCTTACCCTTTGATTCTTGGATTTTCATAACTTTTTTATCTGTCAATATATGATTCTAGCTAGTGTCACAATTACCACTACAATACTAGTGTTTTTGTGGTCCTTTGGTTCTATATATATACACGAATAAAACGAAGGATCGATACAAGGTTTGATGGTGGATTATCTTTTATGCTACCAATGGGGTACAATGTTCTCTTGGCACATATATCACTCAAACTGGGTAAATATCACAATTCATGTGTCCTGCACGCGTCGTTATTGCGATGAACGTATTGTTAATGAATAATGATTCATTTAATACTGAATTATTTGTGGCGAGTGAATAAGATCAAAACATAAAATATCAAATATATTATTCGATTCCACATATGTAATTAAGAATGATAATTTTGTTTGAGCTCAATCAATATCAATCATGAACTTTAATTATGATTAGGTAGAGATAAGGTGGTACAATTTAGGTGTAACATATCTATCAAGTGATTGAGTGGGTGTAGGATTAGTTAAAAAAACAGTCACCATCCATAAATGCAGATTGAGAAATGAATCAATCAATAGATGGATGAATTAAACAAGTGTATATAAAATTGAATTGTAATTTATTTATATAAGAATTTTTATAAAAAAAATTATACTAGACCTATAAGGATTGGCTCGTGGAATTTCTCACTACGGGCTAGTAGCAAGTAAAACTAATGGGCTTCTCGTTTCAGTCCACACTATCAGTCCAAACCAATCAAGTCTTCTTGGACTGAGCCCACCGTAAACTTGCCATCACAATACACAGTACACACAACACAAGGATCCTCTTGTCCTCAATATCTAGTTAGGGAGAAAAGATGAAATTTTGCATGTACAATGCCTAATTCGTGAGAAATAAGAGAACATTCAAGTATTGGTCCCCCTTACGAGTTTGAACCCAACTTTTTATGTACATAATGGGGAAAAAAACATAAAATTAAAACTAGTTAGGGATCGGACAAAAAGGCTAGAAGTTATATGCAATTGAGGTATAAACGGATTAGCAGCAACTGTCATCATGATATATCAGTAGATGATTTTAAAGACCATCACATGTACACGAGCTTCGTCGCACGAACTAGGATATCCAGACATCACAATTTAGTTGTCATGGCTTATGTTGCATGGTAATTAAATACAGGTTAGGGTACCGTCAGCTTCCCTGATGCAACAAATAGAGCTAGGGATTACAACCTTATGTTTGGACAAACAAAAAGTAACTTGTTTGATCCATTTCGAAACATACATGCTGTAACCCCCTATGACTCCATGTCTTATTACAAAACCCATTATATATAAGTTGATTGTACAAAACTAAAACCCAACTAATTAAAAAGTTAAGAATAAAAACCACCAAACCCTCCAATACTAGAGTACTTTTACAGTTTAACATCTTATAATAATCACCATAACACCACCTTATGATGATCTACATTAGAGAACAAGCATTAGGGTTCTCATCACTGAAGATTTGGGGAGGAGGGTAAGAATAGTACTCCATGCTGTAATTCCTCGATGTCGATGGCCAGTACTCACTTCTCTTGATCTCACTCTTCAACATCTCCTCCTCTGTTAACGACTTCCCTTCTTCTCCTTCTTGCTGCTGCTCGCCTTCTGTTGTTTTCTTCTCTTCCTCTTCCTTCTTCTTTTCCTCTTCCTTTTCTTCTTTCTTCTCTTCTGCTTCCTTCTTCTCTTCCTCCTTGATTACTATGGAGACCTGTTTTCTGGTCTTCTTGTACACATCCTCTGCCAGCTTCCCTGCCTCCACCACCCCTTTCACTGTCACTGTCCCGTTTCCCATGTCTGTCTCCACTGATTCCACTCCTGTCCAGGTTAAAAAGCAACAAATACTGTTGTGTCAACTTGTAATATACTTTATCAAATATGGGTTAAAGTAGGATAACATAAAACTGTTAATAGCATAGACATAGCGGGGATAGCTCAGTTGGGAGAGCGTCAGACTGAAGATCTGAAGGTCGCGTGTTCGATCCACGCTCACCGCATTTTTTTTTTGTTATTTCTTCATCGAAACAGAGAATGTGTTACTAGTGTACCTGATATCTTCCGGATTCTCTTTTGCAAGCCTTGAGCACAAGCTTCACAATGCATTCTTATCTTCAAGACGACTGTTATAACTGGTGGAGGCTGCAAACAAGGGGTAGGATTAGTCCCCGATTCGATTAACAGAAAAGTCACGAGAACTCGAATGCACACTTGTCTCGAGTCTGGTTTTGAAGATGCATCAAAGGCAGAATGAGCAAAAAAAAAAAAAAAAACAATTCTGTTTGCTAAATTTGGTGAAAGGTTCAAAACAAGGGATAGACAATAATCAATAATGGACTGCACAATTGTATCATGAAATGGAAAACCCGTGAGCTGCTGGAGTAGCAGTAACTGCTGCTGCTGCAGCTAATTCACTGCTGCTAAGTTATAATAACCTTATATGAAGGGAAAAAAACAGAAAACAGAAACTACTGCCAAGTTGATAGGGTTGGGGGGAGGGAGGTGGGGAGAAAAGGCTTAAAGGTTGTCCCTTTTGTGGGGTTGAATGGCCCTAAAAATAGTGCCCTTCCCCAATATTTTTCCCCACATAGCTTGTTTTGTTACTTTCATGTCAGCCTCGTAACACCCACCACCACCACCACCACCACCACCCTCAATTTCCACCAAGGTAGTAGGTCTCAATGCTTTCAACTTTCAAATTTGTTCCCACACATGTAGCGTTATGTCGATTTCAAGATTCGAATCCAGGACGAGTTTGACGTTTAAAGTTTCGTTACTGTGCTAGATCGACGGTATCAGCTTGCGTTGAATAGCACTCAATTGAAAATGCTAGAGGTAATCCAAAGTCTAAAACTTCAAGTCTCTCTAGAATGATCTTATCTTAATTTTCCTTGAGTTGCACATCTTTGAAAAAAGGACTCCAACCCTTATCTTTTCCCAAATTTGACTACACTATGTTCTTGTCCCCTCTCCCAATTTATTAGGGGCAGCTATCCTTCCAGACTGCCATTTTCTGCTCTCTACCATCATCATCATGAGGATATACATAACTACTACCCATATATATATATTGATCTCTTCAACATGAATTCAAAACATGTAAAATTGGCAAACATTTACACCTACTTTTAACGGTGGTGATCAGAAATGGAAGTAGTGCATATAGAGAGAGATAGAAAAGAAACACAGACAAACGTTAAGAGTTAGTACTTGACTGATTGGTGAACTTGGCAGGGCTTGTTTGGTTTGGCATCATCATGGTTTCTTTTGACTACCTACTAGTGAATTGAGTGGGGGAAAAAAACAATAAAATGTTATTAATGTTTGGTGTGTGTAATGATTAATCGATATCTTTCGACCTTTTGATTCTTATGAACATAAACCAACCCGAATTTTCTCGAAAATCTCTAAACAATCATACACGATCCAGTACGGTTAGAAATTATGAATTGTTTATTACTTATTGAATTATAATTTACCTCATCCTTTTTCTCAGGTTCTTTGGGTGGATCTTCTTTGGGAGGTTCTTCCTCTTTGGGTTTTTCCTCAGGTGGTTTAGGCAGAGGAGAGATTAACTCAACTTTCCTTCCACTCTTCTTCTGCAGCCTCTCCCACACCTTCAATGGGTCTGCTGTTTTCCCTTTCACCACCACTCTGCTTGTCTTGCTATCTGCACTCACTTCCTCCACTCCTACAACCCAACCAAAAAACAAAAAAAAAACAATATTTAATTATGTAATTTTGAAATTCAAATGAATTTTTTAAAAATATGCAAAAAGAGGAGAATTGAATTTATTAATAGTATTTCTTTGTATGTCTCCCCTTTCATGGGGAGTAGTAGTAGGACTAGGGAGTGTGTATAGTAGTAACCACTTTTTGACTTGGAAATGAAACAACTTTTCATGGTGTTAATCAATTTAAATACATGGGTATTAGTGTTCTTCAACATTTCAAAAATTTCACCATATATGAAGAGACTTTGAATAATGGAGCTCCAAATTCGAGTGATTTATATCAAACCCAAAAAAATTGGCTAGAATCTAAGAAAAGGGTAAGTTCCAAAGTTGAGCCTAGGATGAATATTCTTGAAAAGTTGATGACTTGATAGATAGAGAGAGAGAGAGAGAGAGAGAGAGAACCTTGAAAGCCTTTGAGGGCTCTGGCAACCTTCCTAGCACAAGCTTCACAATGCATATCGACTTTGAGCACAATCTCAGGTGGAGGCTGGGGAGGTTCCTCTTCTTTCTTCTCTTCTCCTCCTCCATCCTGCTTCTTCTCCTCTTCCTTCTTCTTCCCTTCTTCTTCTTCTCCACCTTTCTTCTCTTCCTCCTTCTTTTCCTTCACAGAAAACCACAGCAAATCAACAGTAAGCAAAGCATGACAGCCATGGAGGAGAAGAAAGAGAAGGGTGATGATAATATGGTGATGAGTAAGAGAGAAAACTTACTTCACCCATTATTTCTGTGATGATTCAGAGAACAAACTCTCTCTCTCTCTTTCCTTGTGTGGGCGGTGGTGAAGGGGAGAGGAGGAAAGGGAGGATTTTTATTTATGGGGATGGTGTAGTACTGTCTGACGTGGATTGTCTTTGATTTCGGTGGGTGTAAAATGGAGGAGATGGACAAATGTCCTTTTGCTGACTCATCATCTAGTAAGTTAAAACTTTGCCCTTCTGTTTCCTACTAAATCACCTTCTACTACTTTTTTTTTTTTTTTTTTGTATATACCTAGCTACCTGGTAGTATGGTCGTGGACCATTTGCACCATGTGTTCTTTTGATAAGAAATTTGCCCTAATTTCAGGCACCACATCGCACTTTAATTCTGTTGCGGCTAGAGGTTAGATTGCAAATTCGAAATTGTGTTTTCTGATAGCTACATATTTTTATGGAGTGGATAAATATAGCAAATAGAAAATAAAGAAAGACAATAATGGACCAGACACAAGATTTGTCGTGTTGATCACGTAATACATCTTAACGTATTTCGGTCGAAAAGATCGAATTCGGACTTCACCAATTATATTAAGTGATGGTGGTTATCGTGATAAATTCTTTAAAATCACAAAGCCTCTTTAAGGTAATATATATGTATATATATACTCAAAATCGGGAATCTAGCCTCGTAAGGCGTAATCATATGCTCTCGGAGAGTTAAATAATGTGAGGCGCATTTTCAAACAGTCAAGATAAGTGTCGTAGCATGTAGAAAATTATCGAGACATTGGTGATATAGAAACATGAAACATGATTATACTCTGTGTGTTAGAGAAATCAAATCGATCTTTATCGATGGAGCTTTCCGAATTAGCGGCGACTAGGTCGGCCCATTTTGCTGGTCCATGCATTAATGATGCCAACAAAAGCCAAATCCGTGTACTAACTACTACTTCTCAATTCTCATACATTATTGTTATGTTATGTGATGTTCTTTAATATTTAATTTAATATATATGATGATTCTTGTTTTCCATTGTTTTCCATTGTAGTATATTTGACATCCAAATTGGATCAAAAGCAACATAACATTGCATCACCCATACAAACAAAAGGGAGTGCATTTCTTAATATTATAAAACCAGCCCACTCCAGTCAAAAGGTTGTGCTAAATATCCCATAAAGATTGTTTAAGTAATGTAATTTTTTTCTCCTTCTTCCCACTCATTAAAATTGAGAAAAATTCTAATTACCATCATCTTCGATCGAATTGGATATTTCTTTTACAAAGCCCAAACTTTATTTTCTTAATTTGAATGATTAGAATAAATGTATGTATTATTCAAAGCATAATTATACAGGATACGAGCATTGTAGTAGTGCATGCATGGTGAGATCATCACCATGTGGCATGTGGGTAGGAAATCATTGAGTTGGCAATTCAAAGCACAAACTTTATTGGCAAATGTACATATATACTACCAAAACTTCTTCTTTTTTTCCTTGTACAAATGTAAAACATTTCTTGAATATGATAAAAGGGAAAAAGGGTCACTTCAAAAAAGATAAAGCCGATATTGTTTTGCTTTCCTTTTTCCTTCCATTTCCATTGGCATAATTTGGTTGATGAGAGCGTAGACAAAAAGGAAACCCCCCAAAAAAAAAATTGCATCTTTTGCTATTTGACGTATGTTATATATTGGATTTGATATATTTGTTTCCCTCCACAAATATATAACTTTAATTTCATGGTCCAAGCTTTTGCATGTGATAAGGTTGTCTATCCCATGATTTCACTTCAATTGGCCCTTGAGAGTAGAGAAATTAGTGGAGAACGATCAATTAATTGAGTGAAACCCCAATTATAGGATGGCTAATTATCGATTTATAAATCTTTTTCAATGGTGCATGTTTCATTTTGAGCTCCTATAGAATTGTTTGTCCTAATCAGTAAATCGACAATAAGAATTTCATATCTTCATCATCATCATCATAGAAGAAGTTAAATAGGGGTTAATTTATCAACATAACGCAGTCTGTTGTTGAGACAAAGGTTCGAGAATCTATATGTATAGGGTCTTCGACCATATTCGTATATTAATTAGTTCAAGAAGAGTTAAAATCATTTGGATACGGTTCGATCTAGTGCATTTTTTTTGTATACAATTACATGAGATCGTACATAAATAAAAGATTAAACCAAACCCCACACAAATACTTTGCCTAACCTTAATTTTAATGTTATTTTCTAGATTTTGACGATTTAGAGGATTTGGGAAAGCGTCTCTCTTCAATATGAACCAAATATTGTTACTTTCATCCCAATCCATTCAATCAAATTCGATTATCTAAATCATTGTCCAATCCTAATCTCAATCCTATCATATCTCTTCCATTCCCAATCAAATTCTCCTCTCTATCCTATCCCCCATTGGACCGGTTTGGTTCATTGCTGACCTCCTCGATTCTGGCAATGGATGGAGCTCTCCCCTCCATAGAATAATATAAGCCCATAATAACTCCGGGTTCCAAGCCACCATAAAAGGACCAAACCGCCGGCCTGCAGCTGGTAAAACCCTTATCATCGTCAGCAGTATCTTGGAAAGCCGATCAAAGTCGAAGAAAATATCCAACCCCAACAAAGAAAACATAAGTTGAGGAAACCGGTGATGAATCAGCAGTTCCCCAAATGCAGTCCCCATCCATTGCACGACACGTGTCGTTTCCCACTGTACAAAAAAAAAAAAAGGAAACACGTTCACCGTAGCTAGCTGGCTTGTGATGTGGTTTTGTCGTGGCCCGGTGGATAGAATAGTATGCTGCTCTTTAACTTTGTCCTTACTCCACAAATGGGAAACATAAACTTTGGGTGCTATTCCAATTTCCAGTTGTGTTCATCTATAGCTATCTAGACCAATTTTATATATCTAATCCGATTAACTATTCTTTTGTCGAGTTGGAAGAGAAGATCGTTGATTATCAAGACTAATGAATTCTGTTGGAATCGTATATCGAAATCCCATGTGATCTTTAGTGTTCGAATGCAAAAAACGTGCATTCAGAATCGATTTGTCCTAATGGTGTCTTTCTAATTATAGTTTTATGAATCTCATCTCCATATAAATCTTAAGTGTCTTTTGTCAATATAACTTGACGGTTTTGACCTCGGAGAAAAATGTCATTTTACATGGATACTGACTGAGACACAATACCAGCAAGTTCCGCAACATATCCGGCACTAAGTGATGGTAACTAGGCAACATGAGTGTATGAACAACCATGCTTTTATCGGCTACTGAATGAACCGTGAGCAATTTGCAAACAATGTACATATGCACCAACAATATTCACAATGGAGCCAGAACTTACTTTCATGCCATCCAACGACACCCATACATGAAAGAGGAAAGATATAAACAACACCAAAGAGAAATATGGGGAGTTTCGTGCTAGTGGGAGATGTATGTGATTGAAGTTTTGCGGCTATCTATTTAGGTAAAATTTTCAGTAAGTTTTGGAGCTAGCTACACGAAAGATATATATAAAGAGAATCTCAATAGAGACCAAGACAAAATGCCAAATCTTCCCTCTAGATATCCATCCCATTGTGGTGTATGAAATGGGGTATAGGATGGCCTTTGTTTTTCCTCTTTCTCATTTTTGTCAACTTTTTCATCACTCATAGAACATGGAAGAAGTGGCAAAAAGGGAAACACAAACTATCAACTATTCTTTTCCACCCCATCCCCATGGTGGTCATGTTGATTGGAAGCTTGAGGTTGGTTCATGTCTTGCAAGTTGCAAATGCTATTCTTGCTCAAATTTGTAAGGACAACAATTGTTTGCTCGATCGTGGGTCCTTTATTATCACATACATTTTAGGAGACATTGCACATTTGTGGGTTTATGTGTACTCAGCTAAGTGTTTTGGTCGACTGACAAGTGACTTGTTACTATAGTTTTATTTAAAGCGTAATTTGTCACTAAAATTATGAATAACAAAAAAGATTATCATTTGGTCTCCTTCTCGTGAAATATTTTGACTAAATTCTCTAGAAAAATAAGCCAGTTCAGTACAATTAATAAGCTCGTCGTTTTCTCAACAACAACCTCAGTATCACCAATTTTTTTTAATCCGAAATCAATGATGATAGCCCAAAAACTCATCTTCAATTCTGGACCTTCTATTGGCCTTGGTATAAGAGATAGCTTCCAATCTCTCCTTCCCTTCGTTCCCATATTCACACAAATTCCAACAAAGCATACATGAAGAAGATGATGATGATGATGATAAGTGGGGCTTGATTACGAAAGATGCTACTTGCTCACGTTCGTTCTCATGCATACACTTGTGTGTAATATATGAACGATTTGGGGCTCCCAAAATGATATTTCTCCTCGCTACAACATGCCTATATAGCTTCCAAACAAATTTGATTCGTTTGCGATAGATCCATGGTTAATAGACTACACATACAAGAGGATAACTTTCTAACGTTTACGTAATTGCATATTCCAACAATCGATTCGTACTATTAACTTGATTTGTCCGGATATGCTTCATATATAGCCATCCGCCCGTTTCCATACTCTTCAAACGAAAGCTCGTTGCTCGAACATTATGCCAAACCTGGCCACCAAAAAATCTCAACCCTAGAGATTACCCACGACCGGCCCGGTCGACCACCTTCAGATCATACGTTCCATATTTCAGTATCTTCTAAAATGTCGTATTTTCTACGACGTCGTCACATCATCATGGACAAACGAAAGAGAGTTTTGAGTGAGGAGAAGAAACCAAGAAGTATATGAAGTATATAGGAGGAGGATGGGGATCGAGGGCCAGCCAGCTAGGCTAGGGTTTGTGGAAGGAAAAAGTTGACAATGAAACATGGCGATACGAATCCATGGCAAAGCCTACATATATAGCAGTAAAAGCCATGGATGGATCGATCACAATGACATCACCCAAAGCAATTATTCAAATAGTTGCACATTTGATTGGTGGTCCAAGAACATGATGATCACGATATACGAAAATGGCTGACGAATAAGAAGAAGAAGAAGAAGCTGGAATATTCTGCATATATATAATATTGGGACAACCAATGCTAGCTGAAGTTGAAGGTGGCCTAAAGCTAAGTATGTAGCTAGCTAGCTTCACTGAATCTTGTACATATGTCCACACTCGATATAGGTATAGAGAATGGCTAGAATCCACGTGTCAAATGGTCACAGGTCGATTAAGTCGTGAAGTGATGAGTACGGTGCAATTGTTTGTGAGAAAATTAAATAAGAGATTAAACGATTGAATCAATTCAATTACTGATTAATCTTATTAGAATTGGATCCAATTTTCAAGCATTCAAAGCATGAGTGTATAATATTACATATCAATTATTATATATTTGACATTTCATGATGAATGCGTTTTAGTCGACAAAGGTTACCAAATCATTCGAGTCCCAATGCCCATAACCAAGCATGTATGATATGTGAAAATGTTATTCTCAGTTATGCTAATGATTCTCACTTTTTTTTTTTTTTGTGTGTGTGTGTGTGAACACTATGTATTTCTTTGAGCTTATGAGTGAATTACCTTTTGTTTAAAATCATGTTATTACCTGGCTGGCTAGAATCCTAAGCAATAACCATTCATGAATTTGGGCAACAGCTTTTGCTTTCAAATTAATGGGCTTTGTGCATCCTATTTGGGCCTGCTCCTTTTCTTAAGCCTGGATTGGCAACTTCTCCCAATGTGGAAATTCTACTGACACAAAACAAGGAATATTGTTTGGCAGATCCAGACAAACGAGACGAGTCATCACCCACGGGCCACGGGTTACCAATGAAAACATGGGCCAGCCCAGCCTTCTTGTTATGAACGAAGTGGGCCAATATATGGACTGTCCTCTTGTATGGGAAGTCCATAGCCTGTGATGTCACTTGGTTGAGCCCACGGAGCACCGTGAAGTGAACAAAGGGAATGTAAACTGAACCCAACAGTTCAGGATTCAATGACAAAACAATGAGAGAATCCTGATGTAATCGTACCAAAACCTATAGCGTGTCATTCAAAGGGTGCAACTGATTGATACGAACGGTACGATATAACAAATACTAATAAAAAATACTAATATCATGTAAGTATTGTTTCAAAGATGAGGTGCAAAATTTAAAATTCGAATGATATGATACGATATGACAAATACTAATAGAAATACTTTCTGTTTTGTAAGTGTTGTCTAACAGTATGATATACAATTTCAAATATTCTCCTGATAATAAATTAGCTTAGTTGCTTGGCAGCATCAAGTGGGTGCCCCAATAATTTGATTTGTGTTAGGCTCTAACTAATTTGAGGAATATACTCTTTAGATCAATTTTGGGGGGATTTATGATGCTGAATTCAGCCCCCAAACTTCAAACCCTCTCAAAAGAATCCAATTTGGCTTTGCTTGCGAAATTTATCAAAAAAATTGTAATCAAATTTTTGTATACTCCATTTTGATTATTGAGATTCACAAAGATCTTTGAATGACCTGAAATTGCAAAGGAAACCCATGTGGCAATACATGAATATGCGGTGGCTTCCACCTTATCTTACATCTTACATCAAAGGCTTAAAAAATAAACAAAATGCTAATAATTATAGCTAGGTTGGTTACTTAAGTTGCTTACATTCAAAAAAGTTTATTGAGACTTTTGGAGAGCCCGCAATTTTTTAAAGTATTAGCTCTTTGGTGAGCTAACTTGTTTCTTTCCCTCCAATTTTCTCATGGATAAATGAGTAGTTTGTTTATTATCTTAAATGGTGCTAATTTTGATAGAAACGGTTTTGAAGGACTAGGTGATAGTTAGTGATGTTGAACGAATAAAAATATGAAATCTGTTGTGATTTATCGAATCAAAAGAACTCAGATAAATCATCATTCTTATCTTATTTTCGAAATTAATTCCAATCATATATTATTTTTTTTAACGAATTCGACGAGATGATACAAGTGGATCGAGTTTTTATCAGTTTTGCTACCTCCTAATCCAATACATGAACAAATGCATAGTTAACCATTTGTGTGTTGTGTTATGTGCACCGCACCATTCCTCATCTAAGTCGATAGAAAGGGATAAGAAAGCTTTCTCTCTCACTCTCCATCAAGTATCAGCCCCCTCCATTAACATTGCTTTGATTTCTCAAAGCTTTCCCTCCTCTCCTTCCCCAACCTTCCTCCAGCCTGATTGAGACTTGAATGTTCCATCATTATACATCCATAACCACAAGAAATACATCACCTTTATATACCTTTCTATGTCAATGTTTGTCTTGTTGGAAAATGATGGTCGCGTTAAATTCTCGAGCATAAAACAACTTGTTTTTTTTACTAATTTCAACCTTTGTGCAACGTTTTTACGAATACACATATAAAGACAAACAAATAACCGTTAACCATGAGTTCCTAATGATTTATCGAATTGGTACCGTAGTTATTCTAAACCGACGAAAAAGATACAATGGATGAGTCATGAGCGGCAACCTACGGAAATGGAGACAAGTTGCGGTTGGCATGTCGGGTCGTTTTGCTTAATTGACATATCACATCGTAAGCCTCCTCCTCCATACGTACTACATGGTTTCATCATACGATAAGCTTAACTAATCAATTCATAGGGTTTCTTCCCACCTTTGTTGTAGGCTATAGGAAGGTGAGATGGGTCAATCAATGGCCGGCACATGAAAATGGAGAATAATAATAGTAGTAATCAAGCGTCGTCACTCGGCAACCATAAAAGAATGGAAGAGAAAGGTCTCCCCATCTAACGACAACTTCTTCCAAGGTTCTTTTAACCAACTCTTGAGTTCAATTCAATTGCATGGATTTTGGTGCTCTACGCATTTACACTTGTCAAGCCAATACTTCATCAAATATAACATACCAAAGGAATGGAGTTCATTTACCAAATATAACAAAAATACACTACTTATTTGAAAAGGATACGAAATCATATTGAAAAGTAATCCAACTTATTATTAGATTAGCGCATAATTGTGTACTCGTACTAGTTTTTTATGCATCAATCAATTGAACCTTATCATCCCACTAAACACATATCATTTCAATACTCCCAAATTTATTTACAACAGTCAATATTCTGCCGATCCTACTACATATTCTTCTAGTGAAAAATACCATGAAGAAGACGAATCATGCTAACCATGGAGAACTACGGTCCAACCTCCTTCAATCATACAACAGTACAAACCAAGCAGGCGTCACATATATTGCTAGCTAGCTAGTACATATATATATAACCATTTTCCCCCCACCATGAATGAGATCCCCCAACAAACCTTAACTCACACCATTACAATTTACAAGCCCCTTCATTTAGGTCCTCTCTCCCCCTCCCTTCTTCCTATCTCTTCAAACCCAACTCCCTTTCCCCGCCGGCCGCCATGGGAGGAGAACAAAAGGTGTGTTAAGAGAACCCTCTTTGCCTCTCCATCATACTCTGTTTTCTCCCCTGTTTTTGGCTAATGGTGTTTGTCTTTGTTGCTTCTGCAGCTGACGATGATGGCGATCAAGGTCGATCTGGACTGCTACAAGTGCCGCAAGAAGATCAAGAAGGTCCTCTGCAGGATCCCTCGTAAGCATGATATTTGATTGTCCGCTACAAGTTTCGAATTTTGATCTGTTCTTAAATTGAGAGTTTTTGCGACGACTGAGTGAGGCCGTCACTAATTCGAATTCCCGGGAATTTACTTTTGGCGACGGACAGAGATTCAGAATCAAGTGTACGACGAGAAGGCGAACGTGGTGATAATCACGGTGCTGTGCTGCAGCCCGGAGAAAGTGATGGAGAAGATTTGTTGCAAAGGCGGCGAGTCGGTGAAGGGAATCGAGATCGTCAAACCCCCACCGCCGAAGCCGAAGGAGCCGGAAAAGCCCAAGGAGAAGCCCAAAGAGCCGGAAAAGCCCAAGGAGAAGCCGAAGGAGCCGGCAAAGCCGGCGGGGCCTCCACCGGCCACCGCAAAGCCAGCTCCAGCACCGGCGAAGCCGAAGGAAAACAACGATAAACCGCCCAAACAGACCGAACCGGCTCCGAAGCCGCAACCAAAACCAGCCCCTCCGTCGCAGACCGAGATTCCGATCGGATTTCCGCCGCCGGCACCGGGGCCGACGCGGACCTGCTGCAGGGAGTGCTACGAAGGTTGGGGCGTGGGGCCCTGCCACAGCATGCTGGGCCCGCCGCCGTGCTACGACGGGTACGGCCGGCCGGTGTACGACAACTGGGGCGGCGGCGGGTGCAGGGGTGGAGGGTACTACGGCAGCAGAGGCGAGTGCTTTAGCGACGACAATACATCGGGCTGCGTCGTCATGTAAAAGTCTAAACGAGACAAGAGCCTGTGGCAAAAACGGCGGCGTTCTGAGCGGTTCTCAAGAATCCGTTTTCTTTTTCTAGGGGCTAATAAAATCATTTATTTTGGATCATCAGCCACGTGGCGCGATCCAGTGCGCATGGGATTCGTATCATTCGTTCAATTTTCACTCTTTCTTGAACCGTCTTGTCTCTTTTTCTTTTTCCATTTTGTGTTTTGGAAAAAAATATATGTAGGGAGAGATATAAAGAGAATTGGTGGCAAAAAATGGAAGTATATGGTGACGGGGGATTAGTCGTTGTTTATTGCTTAGAAAATATTGAAAATGACTATAAGAGGTTGACAGATTTTAATCAATGAAATTTGTTGGAAATTAAAAGGTACTTTATGAAAAATGCTTGGCTATTGGTTCATCACTAATTTGTTGGAGGATTCTCTTTTTGTGGTGGTACATGGTGTAATCAATTACTCAAGATGTGTGGTTTTGTGGATATATAATTTATAGGTTAGGCAAGAAACATTTCATTAGGTTGTGTTTGGTTGGAAGAGATAGGAAACCTTCTAATTCTATTACAACTTTGATCGTGCTACCTAGTGCACATGAAAAATAGCACCAAGTTGGTTAGGAGTTGACAAAGACTTTATCCAATATTTTTATATAGTGAGAGCTGACTTCAATTTTCAAAAACTTAACGATCTGATTTTCATTTATGATAATCTTTTTAAGGTAAGAAAAAATGACGAATCGAATTCAAAGTAACCGATTACATCTTTTTATTTATTTACAATTTTCCCCTATAATAACAAATAGATAAACCCCATTTCTCATACTATACACGAGAGAGAAAATATGGTATTGAAAATCTTACAAAACTACAAGTAAATTCAACTTCACCGCTACAGAAAATCTTATATCCACACTGATACAGATCTTTTACGAGATAGCATGCACCCTAAAACAAACCACCTAGTGATATTTGTGCATATGACCTAACCTATGTAGACAAAATGGTAACTATATGAAGCTTCTATTTATTTCCCCCCGAATTTGTTGGTACACGATAGATGGAATAAACTATGTATCTAATTTGTTGATGAAGGTCGAAGGAGATAGATTATCTATAACCTACAACTATATATTTGCATGCCACGCTCAAAGCACAAAACTATGGCCACCGCTAAGCAAGGTTAAAGTGAACTAATCATAAAGCAAAACAGCAGTGTTTTCCAAGCAAATATTTATTAAGGACTTGTTGCTAATTCAAGCCAACTTCGTCGACTTGAAAGAAAGAAGGAAGAAAATAATGAAACGTAACCATCTTAGCATCTTCTCCATTATATGTGTGTGGGGAGGAAAAAACAATCAAGTCACATAACAATAAGGAAAGCAACCTTTTGAAAATTCAAGTGTGAATTGTGAGGGCCACATCACCTCCATTGATGAGACACCTCCAGCCACCACCTAGGCAAATCCAAGGTATTGTTTGTTTCAAGTTAAGTGGTGATTGACCCTTTTCCCATTTTCGACCAACGTATAAGATCGACTTCGTTCAAAGAAGGGTAATTACATGCTTAACACTCTTTTTTTTTTTTTTACATATCTCTACAATACATTAATCTGTAATTGTTTTTTGTGGACAATTGTACTTTTATAGAGTCATATCACTTTGTATTGGAGGCATGTGTCACGATTGCTCGTTGAAATAAAGAGTGATCAGTTTTTTTTTAACAGGAAGCTCCAATTGTGAAATTTGTGTGTGCGATGTAAATGAAAATAGATGGGTGAGGAGGATGATCTCTTGTTGCTGAATTCTCCAACTAGCTAGGTTCAACCAAGTAATTAAGATCCACGAGGGAGGAGTTAATGGTGATATATATAAGTCTCATATCGTTTTGTTTTCTCAATGGTGGCTTCATTGGCACTTCATTAGTAGTTCGTCGTTCTACCTTTAATTAGCACCACGATGAAATGATTCGGTTGAAATTGATAAACACAAACACGTATAGGTGGATAGCTGATAGAGGTTTGATGGATCTATACGACTTTCAAGTGGAGAAAGCAAATGGTAATGTGTAGCACCAACCCGATTTGGTTGTGCGGTTGGAAAGAGTTTTAGGATGTTTGGATGATTGATTCTTGGCGAATCATGGATATCTCTCTAAATTAAGTGGTTATGTATGCTACGAATAAGAATCAATGAAAAAGATATTGTTTTTCAAAAGAAAATTTATAGTAAAGTGCATATATTGTTATCAATATGCAGATTATTATTTACAACAAATACTGATAAGATTGCGTGTGGTTATATATGCCTTGAATAACCTATTATTATGGTTGAATAAATGATACCACATAATGTGTAGAATGATTGATTTGGAATGATCATAGTGTTCAAAACTTACTTTCTAAATTCGACTGTTAGGAATTCAATCCACCATGAAAACACGTAATCCAAATAACAATGCGTTGAACTTTTGTACACGATTTGGGTATCATTTTCATCTCCCTCCTAATAATTTTGTTCGTTTTTTAAATCATGATTTTAAATGTTTATTGCTCAATCACAATACCATCATCAATTTTGGCCAAATGCCTTTTACTATTTGTCCTGGATGGACCTTCTATAAGCTTCTTTTCAAATCTAAACTCCACTTGTAATTGCCATATTCTCCCCAACCACTACCCTCCTACCTTTCCCTTATCTTTAAGCAATTGATTAGGACATAAGTAATTAATTAAGGTTACTTACATATGCAATGGAATCTTGGGGCTTATCATTATTGTAAGTTTAATCTGTTATTATATGCTTTAGAGTTATCATTTTTGTTGAAATTATTGAAACGAATTAGTTCTTGAGAGACTCATGATAAGAAGTAAACGTTAATTGATTAATAGGAACATAAAAGTAAGAAAAATGATGCCATTTTCTTTCGATCTCAAAGTTGGGATTAGTTTCCAAAGTGTAGGTGTTTAATGTTCTTCCCCCTTCTCCCTTCATATGAACTCTGTCGGCAAACAGGTAGTCATGTAACAAGGAAGGGCAAATGAGTATTGCCAAAAGCCAGCCGCTTGATCTGTCATGTTTGCCTGCATTGTATCAAATAAAATTCAGGGTGACAAAATATAAAACTTTTGTTACATAATAAGAATCAAGCCTACAGGTAGTCCAAACAAACATAAGGCTCTGCTGAAGAAGATAACAATATAATCGCCAGTAGAAGAACGATTAACCTATTGATATTACGAGGATAAAACCATCCATCACACTGTAAGTTCATACAAAGTTGTTTTAGTTTGTGTTTTTCCTATCAAAATGCTTTCGAACTCTTTAGGTGGTTAAAACAGCTCAAAAGAACATAAGGAGGGCCAGACCTCGTATAATTTAACAATCAGTAAGCACTTACACAGTGACAGACTTTTAGGTTAAGCATTCACTTTCCACAATTTCAAAGCACAAGTCAAGTTGGATACAAGAAAAGGTTCACCGGCCTTCATGCACAGGACTAATTAGTACTTACCACCATCCTACAGTATCTGCTGCTGCAGTTTTGCTCTCTTTCTGGCCAACAACCGTTCTCTCGCTGCATTGATCTCATCTTGCTTTCTCTTATAATGGTCGGCTGTTGCTTGCTTAGCTGGTGGTGGCTGCTCTTCCGTGGTTACTTCTTCTGCGGGTCCTGAGGAAGAAGCATCAGGGACTGGCTTATCAGCTGTTGGCTTGAGATCTGTAGACTCGAGATGTGTTTCAGAATCAGGGTTCGGCGATGGATCCAATGGCTTCTCAGACTCAGGTAATGATGGTAAGGTTGCCTTTGATTCTGCTCCTGCTGCCGAGGATTCCTCGACGTCTTGCTTCTGCTCCTCCGCCTTCTTGGCTTCAGTAGCCCACTTCTCTTGCCGCCTCTTCTCTGCGTCTTGACCACCAAAGGCAACGTTCTTCCTGAGGTTGAAGTAAAAGTCGCTCAAATCGCTCTTCTTGGTAACCTTTCAAAGGAAAAAAAACAGTAATTTCGCCATCAATAGTAAGCCAAAAACATCAATAACTAGTGGTAATTATTTGCTTCAAGTTCAACATATTGAAAAGAGATCAGACATCACTCTTTATTGCAAGAGAATCAGCAAGCAAAGGAGAAGAAGTTGAACTCACGTCGTCCTTCTGCTCTTTGAGTTCACGGAGTTTTTCTTCTTTCAACCACTGCTCACGCTCTGCGAGTTTCCTCTTGTAGGCATTTGTAACGAATTTGTCCTTGTCGGCATATAGATGGTCATCTTGGCTTCTTTCTTTGGCAATCTTTCGCTCGAACACCACCTCCTGTTGACGTTCTCTCTCTTTTGCTTTCTGCATCAGAGCCTCGATGTACTTAGGCTGCAAAGAGAAGCACCACAACCAGTCACATTCTGCAAATAAATAATGTTTTGGCCTGTTTCCTGTCTTGTGAAGATATTAGACCAATACAAGAACCAAAACTCTAAAATAAGAGTCAATATCTAAGCACGAGCATGGTCATAAGGATAAACAAGCAATTAGAAACATAGATATAACAAGATCTTATATAAGCCTCATTGAAGTTACTAAGCAGCAGCTACTTCTGATAAGTATTCTGATCTTCATCACATGATACATTATCATCATCCTCTATCAACAATAAGGACTGGAAAATGACACATTATCAAAGAAATAACACTCATCGATGAAATAAGAGCAAGTATCATAATTCTACAGCTCAATCATAAATTGCTAATAACTGAGTTCTTACTGGATTACTACTTAGACAAGAGCAAACAATTCGACAAAGCACCAACCACTCTTATACTTCGAACTCAGAAACTAGGATTACTACTTGAGCAGAGTCCTACAATTGAAGAGATGTACGTACCTTTCTCTGTTGCTTATCTTCAATCCGTGGACGAACAACTGCCTGCTTCATCTCATCGTAAACTCCATCATAGTCAAACGCTGATGGATCCTCCTCCAATGCTTTCTTGTGTTGCTCCTCAATCTTCAAACAAGAAAAAAAAAAAGACTCTAGTAAGCGGACACAGAACTATGAAAATGGTAGTGAGTGAATAACATTGTCCGTGGAAGCATAAAGTTCCCAAAGCTTACATCTTTGAGAGACTTGTTCTTGCTAGCTTGCCGCAGAATCTCTTTCTCCACATCTTCATCTTCATCGTCCCCGAATCCCAGGACCTTGGGAGGCGGCGGCCTTGGCGGCCTCTTATTCTGCTGCGACTTGGGTACCCGCAGGTTTAAACCATACTTACTCATTCCCACTGCGACTATCAACAACCCCACAACAAAAAGATTTGAACTTTTCAGCTTAATCACGAAAAATTTCATTCGCCAGGGCAAGAAATTTGAGTAAGGCGGCAATTTAAACAGCAGAAAGAACAATCCAATTCCAAAGCTATAAAGAGAAAGACACATCGATTCAGTATAATTACCTTCCGACTACGGAATTGATTGCTTGCAGCGCCGACGGAGGCTTTGGCGATGAATTCGCAGTCGAACAACTTTCTTCCGGCTGTTTCCCGCGGCAGCAACTGAAAATTGCAGCGGGGAAAAGTAATGGGGCAGAGATTTGCGACGCCGATTGGCGGTGATTTTGCTCAGACGATCCGGAAGCTCTTCGGACAGGCTTCTGGGCCGGTCGGTCCACCTAATTTTATCTGGGCTCACCTCATGGTGGCCCATTTATCAGAAAGGGGATTGTTTGCCATCCAATGAAAGATCAGTGACTAAAGTCAATATTTTTCCTATCTCTTCCTTTTCAGTTCAGTTGATAAGACGCTTCTCTAGTTCTCTTCCCTCTGAAGCTCTGAGAAAACAGGGCAGAAGCATAAATGGCGTACAATCTATGCGCTTCGCCCTCTTCTCTCTACCAACCACTCTGCAACTCGCTCTCTTCTCCGTCCCGAGACCCAAAACCAAAGCCCTCAACCCATTCTTTCATAAAGCTCCCAACTTTCCCGCCTCAATCGAAACCTTTTTCGCTCCTGCAGCTCACCACAACGCACGTCTCTCTACACGACGCAGTCCAGCAGCAATCCGAAAAGGAGGAGGAAAATGCCAGAGACACAAATGGAAAAGCAGTTGGGACTTCGTCCAAATCCTACGTCTGGGTGAATCCTAGAAGCGCCAGAGCTTCCGAGCTCCGCAGGAAGTCATACGACGCTAGGTATTCTTCTCTCGTTAAAGCCGCCCAGGATTTGAATTCGTGCGAGGCGAACGAGGTGGAAGTTTCCAGAGTTTTGAATGGGTTAGGACATAATTTGTTGGAGCAGGATGCGGTGGTTGTGGTCAATAACATGACGAACCCTGCAGCGGCTTTGCTTGCGATGAGGTATTTTAGGGATAAGTTGAAGTTCAATCGGGAGGAGGTTATGTATAATGTGACGATGAAGGTGTTGAGGAAGTGTAGGAAGATGAGTGAAGCCGAGGAGCTGTTTGATGAAATGCTTCAGAGAGGGGTGAAGCCGGATAATGTCACGTTTTCGACAGTGATTAGCTGTGCTAGGCTTTGTAATTTGCCTGAGAAAGCCGTGGAGTGGTTTGAGAAGATGTCCAGCTATGGGATAACACCAGATGATGTCACTTATTCCACCATGATTGATGCTTATGGCCGAGCTGGCAATGTGGAAAAAGCTTTAAACTTGTATGATCGTGCTCGGGCGGAGAAATGGAGACTTGATGCTGTAACATTTTCAACGTTGATAAAGATTTATGGTATTTCCGGGAACTATGATGGATGCTTGAATGTTTACGAGGAAATGAAGGCTCTTGGCGTTAAACCAAACGTGGTCACCTTCAACACTTTGCTGGATGCCATGGGAAGAGCCAAGAGGCCATGGAAGGCCAAGATACTCTACAAGGAGTTGATCGATTCTGGACTTACCCCAACTTTCGCCACCTACGCAGCTCTAATGCGTGCTTATGGTAGAGCTCGATATGGAGAGGATGCTCTCATCGTGTATAGGGAGATGAAGGAGAAATCCATGGAATTAAATGTAGTTCTCTACAACACTTTGTTGTCAATGTGTGCTGATCTTGGATATGTCGATGAAGCTTCCAGGATTTTCGAGGACATGAAGAGCTGTAAAGTGGAGCCTGATAGTTGGACATTCTCATCTTTAATCACCATATTTTCATGCAGCGGCAGAGTGTCTGAGGCAGAGAAGGCTTTGAATGCTATGGTGGAAGCTGGTTTCGAGCCTAATCTTTTTGTTCTCACCTCAATGATCCAGTGCTATGGTAAAGCTCAGCAAACCGATGATGTCGTCAAGACCTTTAACCAACTCCTCGAGTTAGGAATTACTCCAGACGACAGGTTCTGTGGGTGCCTTTTAAATGTGGTCACTCAAACTCCTATGGAAGAGCTCGGTAAGCTTGTTGAATGTGTCGAGAAGGGTAACCCTAAGCTTGGTTCTGTGGTGAAACTTCTGGTACAAGAAAACCATGACGGGAACTTCAAGGAGCAAGCAGCTGAGCTGTTTACCTCAGTTGCTGCTGATGTGAAGAAGGCTTACTGCAACTGCCTAATTGATCTGTGTGTGAATCTCAACTCATTGGAGAGAGCTTGCGAGTTGCTGGACTTAGGACTAACACTGGAGATCTATACAGACATACAGTCAAAGTCGACAACTCAGTGGTCTCTATATTTGAAGAGTCTATCACTTGGGGCAGCTCTAACTGCCCTACACGTTTGGATAAACGACTTGACCAAAGCAGTGGAATCTGGAGAAGTACTACCACCAGTACTAGGAATCAATACCGGGCATGGGAAACACAAGTACTCGGACAAGGGATTAGCTAGTGTATTTGAGTCGCACTTGAAGGAGCTGAATGCTCCATTTCATGAAGCTCCTGATAAGGTCGGTTGGTTTCTAACGACCAAGGTTGCTGCCGAAGCTTGGTTGGAAGCCAGAAAGGAAGCTGAAGTAGTAGCTGCTGCCTAGGCATAAGCATTCGTCATTAAAGGTTTCGCCTTTGCTATGATTTGCGACTGGTATGTTTATGATCACCTTACCTCTCTAGGTAGAGAACTTTTTTCCATATTTTTTTTTTGGGTACTTTTAGAGACAGCATTTATATAGACAGATGTTTAATGGAGTTGGCTATGATGATGAATCAGCTGACATCCTGAGGAATTGGAGATGATATAACAGTTTTGTGGATTCCATGACTACTCCATTTTGTATGGTTATATCATAGATGTTCCTTACATTATTGCAAGAAGGCTTTTTCATTGACTTTATTTGTTGGTGAAGGCATTTGAAAAAGCTTTTCTAGTTTGTAAGTAAACTCCTTTTTTATTTGGAGGGAATCATGCTTATGAACGTGGGAGTGGCACAGACTCTCTTGACTTTATGTCTCTAAAATGGGGTTCTAAAACATTAAACAACCAATAAACAAGAAACTGGGTCATGGGTAGCACGTCAGGTTGTTCACCAACGTGAAATCAAGTCAACCATCTTCATCCCTTATAAATTTGTTTTGTCGAGTCTTTCTGAAACACAATCATCACTGAAACACAAAGCATCATTCATTCCATTCTACTACCATGGGCAATTGCATGAATGTCCTGTGCTGTTCAGAAGAAGAAAAGAGTGAAGCTCTCCTCTCCAAAAAAGGAGAGACAGATTTCAGTAGTACTCGACTGCCGGTTAAGAAGGTCCTTGGTGTTTGTCGAAGCGCCAAGGTGGCAGACCACCAGTATGCTCGTTTGCTCACTAAGGATGCAAAGCTGGAGCCCGGTAAAGTTAAGATAGTTTTGACAAGGCAACAGCTAGAGTTGCTTCTGAAGAATGCAAAGGAGTTGAGGAACAAGGGGATCACAATAAGAGTCTCTCGGAGTCGTAAGGAATGCAATAGCAGGAAATGGCAGCCGTCTTTAGCCGCCATCCCTGAGGTGAAGAAATTTTGAGATGGGTAGAGCTAACATAATAACTACTTCACCAGCTGCATCTTGAAAGCAATTATATAAGGGATGTGTATAAGTTTACAGAGCAATTTTTCACAATGCTCAACTTTTTTATTTATTTTTGCCCCTTTTCTTTGATTAAACAAGAGTTGTTGAACTTCAACATGGTTTTAGCTTTATTAGTAGGAGTGTAGAAGGTTGTTGATTTTTGTTGAAGCAGAACTTCAGTTCAATACAAAAGATTGTAGTTTCAATGTGAATTGAACATCATTAGCACAAAAGTGTTGCAAGCAAACTTATTATGTGTATGTGTATATATGTCGGATCTCCTCTGTGTTGGAACTATGAACTCTGCCTTTGTTTACATATTCCTTACTGTTTCAGCTTTTCTCTTGCTGACTCATTTATTGAATGTACACAAACTGAAACCCAAACCATACTGAAAGTGCAGCAAAGAATCAGGAGAGATCAGCTTCATATTTACATTCAAGAATCAAAAGGAACTTTTGGTGTAGTTTTTGCACAAATTTCTGCTGGGCTTTCTACTTTATCCCGTGCCTGAAGAAACCTCGCATTACCTGCTTCAATCCAAATTATCAAAACACAATACGCCATTGATGATATCGTAAAATGGGCAGTTAAATGTCCAGAATCTTTACTTGGTAGTCTGAATGACAATACCTTCTGTATGGGTTTGGAGATGCAGCAGTTTTTCTGCTAGGTTCTAACTTTGATGACCCAGTTTCCTTTTCTCTTGCTGCTGCTTCCCTCTTCAGCTTCTTGGACTCCACTTCGATGGATCTCGTCAAGGAATCAACTTTTCTCATCAACATCTGCTTACAAGTTACAAGTAAGAACATTCAATCATACGGTTTTGTGTTTGCTTTCAGGGGAAGAAGAGAGACACACAAAGTGATGATTTTTACTAAACCTGGATTTGGTGGTCTTTGGCATTCAAACTGCTCTCCTTGGCCTCACAAGCTCTCCTTAAATTTATAACCTCTTTCTGCAGCTTATCATACAAGAACCCTGAAACCAAATCTTCAGCTCTAGGACTCACACTTTCCTTCTCTTGTACTTCCTCATTAGCTACTGCTGTATTTTCAATATCCTTCATGGTCTTATCAGCATTGAGATCTGCATTTGCTCTCCCTTCTGCATTTTCCTTTCCAGTGCTATCAACAACTCTACTCCTAGATGCCCACAAGCTCTTCCTCACTGTGCTTTCGCTGGAACCTTGTTTCCTTGATTCGTTCCTCTCAGTTTCCACATTTGCTTGCTGCAGAAGTAACCCTCTGCCAGCAACCATGGAAGCCCTTGGCTGCGATGCAGATCTCTTCCTTAGCCCTGCATTGCTTGCTAAGAACCCTAAGATACTGCTGCCATGTTTTTCGCATTTAGGGGACTCACGGAACTTGTTAGAGTTGGTGGAGATGTTTGTTGCTTGCTTTAACCCTTCTTCAAGGGTCTTCAGCCTCAGCTTCAGTTTTTCCTGGAGGTCAGAATTTTGTACCAGTGTCAGAAAATTCAGAATCGTTATTGACAGTGAAACTGAAAAGTTCAGAACTTTGACCTTAATTTGTGCTTCTGCCTTGGCTGTTCTCTCTGAAATTGCAAGCTTATCCCTAAGTCTTTGTATCTCTGCCTGTTGTATATAGAATGGTCAGTAATTAGCTGACATGACCTACAACTTCAGTTTATCAAGCGATTTTGCAATAAACAAGAGCATCATGGGTGGCTAACCGGTTTCAGGTTTGGTCAAACCATGGATAGATTAGTGGTTTGATCCATTGGCTTAATGGTTTAGTTAACAGTTCAGTTATTGTCTTATTGACCCCTTACTGGGTTTCCGTTCGTATCTGAATTTACAGAATTTACCTGCATCAGCCTTCTCTCTTCAAGCCATTGCTTGACAGGCATCACCCTATCATTCTCATCCTTCCATTCATTTGCCACAACTGTCGCCACCCGATTCGCTGACACTTTAGTCCTAGCTAGCTCCCTCTCCAGCATCCTCTTCTCCTCCTGAACCCAAAACTCAAAATCACCAAACCATTCCAGAAAAACAGAAGTTACCAACTTACAACTCCAATGTTCAGTAAAAAGCTCACATTTATTTCAGTGATCTGTCTCTTATAATCCCTAACAGCATTTGCAGCTGCTCCACTTGCTAGAACACTCTCTTCAAGCTCTCCAATGGTCTGACTCAGCTTCTCAACTTCCACAACTTTCTGCCGATTTGTCTTCTCGAGAATCCTGTTCTCTTCCTGACAAATCTCAATCTGTCTTCTCAGTTCATAGTTTTGGTTCTGAACTTCCTCAACTATCAAAACCCTCTCCAGGGCACTCTTCAGAATCGTCTCAGCTTCAAGTAGAGCTGATTCTTTCGACTTTGTCAGGCGCTCCATCGCCTTCTTGTCTTCCTGCAGTGCTGCAATCTGGAAGAAAATCGAAGAAAAAAGATCCAATTCTTACGACAATTTCCTGAAACTAAAGCTGTCTCATTTCTGCAACTGTGTTCAATCATTACCTCATTCTTGTACATCTTGATCTCGGCCTCAAGGTGAGCGAGGAAAGATTCTATGGGAGGAGAGTCATCATCCTTGAGATTTGCATGAACCCTTCTAAGAGTTGCTTCTGCTGCGTGCTGTGCTGATAATGCCTCTTTCTTTTCATCCACTAGCTTCTTGATTTCGAGGTTCTGACAAAATTAAGCAACCATGGAATTCTAGCTGACATTAGATCATCTTCAGCAATATCAAACTTGAGCAAGAATGATATGGAACCAAACCTTGTTCTCGATTTGATTCTCTGAGGCACGTAGCTTCTCGTCTAGTCTGGTCATCTGAATCCTCAGCTGGTAAGAAAATGAACCAAGATTAAAATTGACATGATCAAACGCTGGAGTTCTCTGATAGATCAAAGATAATAAAGTGAAAACGGAAAGATTTTTCCTGTCGCTTAGCCAACTGACCTCTTCTATGGCCTTGTCCTTCAATGCATCAGCTGTTCTCAAACCTTTGTTTTCTCCATGAGCAGCTCCCAGCTCTCTATCTTTCTCTGGAATGATAAATTACAAGCGTTGTTAGAGTTTTGAAGCAAACAACTTATTAACATTATTGCAAGTCTGCAGCCAAACCTTTGAGGAGATTCTGCAGACGGGTGAGCTCCAAAACAAGAGGGTCAGAATGAGGAAAGGTGAACTCTTCCAATCCAATTCCAACTCCAATCAGCTGTTCTTCAAAACCCATAATTTCTTTAGCAAATAAGCTGTAAAGTAAATAACAGAAGGCAGTATATGCTGTTCTGAGATGAAATGGGAGAAATGCAGGACCAAGTTCCGAAGGCAAGCTGCAGGTAGAAGAAGTCTTGTCTCTTTGTGAACTGGTTGGAGTTTTGTTTGGATTAGATGGTAAGGTTTTGATCATATATAAAGAGCAGAAAAGCAACAGTCCAAATGGTGCAATCCCTTTTTAAGTGAATTGACCTTAAAGAGTGCCACAAAAAAAGGGACTGTTGCAGATTGGATTGAATTGACTTGGAGCTTCCTCTGGGAAGGAAGCAAAGCAATGTTTTCAAGTATTTCTGAGACTGCAGATTGTTCTCATTAGCCGGCCATTGCCAGCTCTCTCTCTCTCTTAGAGAAGAATCAATTTTGCCAAGAAAATCTCACCTTCTTTCCAAAATGTAATTAAGTTGAGATATTAGAAACGAAATCATCTTGATAAGATAATTAAATTTATAGGCTTCTTTTGTTTGTTTCTACTTCATTCTTCTTTTTCTTCTCCTTTTGTACAATTCAACCGAATATATATAGTTGTAGTTTATAGCAAAATATCATTGTGTGCATATATTTCTGGCATGCTTGATAGAACATATTCATCTATTAATACGATAAATTCTTGTAATTTTATTTAATGATTCACTTGTTAACAAATTAATGCTTATAACTAGCATATGTTTTTTTTTAATGTACTCTTCTCTAAATTTTAACTCCATAACTACATCTTTAGAGACACCAGTCTTTCTCCTTCAACATTACAGGTAAAAATTTATAAAAAAGCATGAAGGAAACAAGAAATTGCTTTCTTTTAGTGAAGTATGTCTTGTAATTAAAATGGTTGTGAATGGTGATGTGTTGAACATCTTAGACTTCAAAGAAGAAATGAAGGATCATCTTTTGCACCTAATCCATTGAAAAATATATATTGGCTCTTGGAGGCAGGGAAAAATATATGCATGCAATAGTATTTGATTGAGTATTTGGTAAAGAGTATTGGTTGGTGGGTTGCTCAAATAAATGTACAACAATAATATAATTCAATTTTCTCAAATACCCACAAATGAAAGTAAAGAACTCCCTCACTAAAAATGACAGTTGTTAAAACAAGATGATGGCTGAAAATGAAGGGAACAAAAGTTGGTGAGAATGGGAAATGAATTTTTGGTCATAATCCCTAGTGTTTTTGCCATTGGATTCTCCAAAAGTTGGGACTGATTTTTTGACACATGAGACAAATCTTTGAAGATGACTCAATAGATGATTCCCACCTCTAGGTTTAGGTTTCCATATCAAACCCTATCTAATGATGCTCATAATCTGACTTAACATAGTGAAAGTAACTCCCAACATTGGAGTAATTCTAATTGCTTAAGCGCTAAACCTTCCTTAAACCATGCTTTCTTCCTTTCTCTTCTTTTTTCCCTCCTCCTTATAATTATGTACATTGGAGGTGCCAAATTATCAACACAAGTCTTCATTTTGAACTCAAAACTAAGGAAATGAGGTATTCTATGACACTAGTGAAAAGGACTAGCCAATCAAAAGTGGCTTGGAAGAAAGAAAATCCAAAAAACGAGAGGGGGAGGGAAGAAAAGCCATTATAGTTAATACTCATTTGTGAAATTTTGTTATGTATATATATCCCATCATCATCTTTGCTTGCAAGTATAGATGACTGAAATTTAACAAATAGTGTGCCAAAATTTTATGGTTTCTTTGTTGTTGTGTGTGATAACTTTGCCAAATGTTGGATTTTCAATACATTGCTTAAGCTTGGTGTCTTCATTAGGCGACAAAGGGAAGAATCTCCCCAAGCCACCAAGATCTCAACAAAAAAAAAAAAAAAAAACTCGAGTTAGTAAGTGAATTTTATCTTTATCAAAAACATAATCACAGTTATAAATAATTTCGTCAAATATGAGATATTCGGTCTCTTTTCATAGTACTGTCATCGATGATCTGAAGTCTATGTGTTATACTACCAGTTGTATCAATGTATTATTGTGGGTCTCAAAACCTCACGCGATTATTGACACAAGACAAGGAGCCATCGGCCTTTTTCACATCCAAAAAAACAAGATGACTCATTATTAGTTAATGAACAACCATGGGAAAATGATGGACTAGGGCTTAATTTCATTTATTTGTACTAATTATAATCTTTTTTTCACAATCATGGCCTGACTGAATTTTTTCATGAACAATGTGGGTTTTGATGGTGATGTAAGGTGGGTTCAAGCTAGCTTTGATGTGTGCTTTATGGTATAATAATACAAGGGCTTAGCAAGATGACTTGGTTAAGGTACAATTGGCAACACTTGGAAGGCCATTCTTGGTGGGTCACTTACTAGGACTAGTTTTTAATTATGGGAAGTGGGATTCTTTTCTCATTATTTTTGTATAATTATGTTTGTATAGTTTGGAGAGTTCGGTCTTTTTTTGCGCTTCATTTCATTTCCTTTGACGATATACGAAGTTATTAGTTCTAACTCACAAAGATATATTAAGCAAGCAATATTGTGTTCGTTTCTTATTCATCCATGACCATAACGAAAATATCTACTTTTGCTATAGGATTCAAATTGATAGAGAACTTTAGGTCAAAACCAAACCTTGGTATATGTTAATCTCATTGCATATTTACCAATTGAAGTGATCATCAAACACTAACAAGCAGAGTGATGTAGGCTAAATTCAAGAACTTTGACCGGGCTCCAGCCTCCAGATTTGGGCTTACCCCCATGTCCTAATCCACTTCCAGTTGGATGTTTAACAGGACCCAACTTAACTATTTAAAAAATAAAAGCCCATACTTCATCGATTTACTACTACGAGCCCATTCTTAGATCCACAAGCAATTCCCATGCATGCAGAGAAACAGGGAGAAAGGAAAAGAAGTTATGCTTTCCTCCAAATCTTGCACTTTCTTTTCCAGGAGACAAAGGGGATAAAGCAACCGCCCATTTCCTCACTTCTGGACAAACAACTTGGTATCTCCACTCTCCATCACATGATGATGATCCCAGATTTCCAATCAACCGACTTAATTATAAACTTAAGATCATAGACTAGGCTTAAAACAAAACATTGAGTGTAAAGTAATTACGTTTACGATGTATCAATAAATATATCGTTGCATGCTAATCGACTTAAAGTTTCCTGGTAAACTAAATAATATTTCTAATACTATTAAGTACCATATCCAAGAGAACAAAAAGTTGATTAATAACCCTAAACAAACTCATAATAATGTTATTATAAACCAAACACAGTTGATTGAAATAGTAATCTAAAACTTTGAATGCTCACCATGTGAACAATCTAAAGAATTTAAGATTGAAGTCTCTTTGCAACCAAATGAAACTTCCTATGACAACTAAGGATCATATGAAGAGACCAAAGCAAAGGAAAGTATAGCAGCAAATGTTCACAAGTAAAACACCACAATATTCCCCTTCCTCCACCATCTCTCCACTTATAAAGCATCAATTCCCTTCTTTTCCATTCTCCCTCCCCACATTTCCCATCACCCAAAAAAAAAAGGGTCAGTTTTCTCTACAATGGCCAATCCTTACAATCAAGGGCAACAACCGCAGCAGCAACACCACCATCCAGCCATGGAGATCTCAGAGAAGCTGCTTGATTGCAATACAAGTACCATTTTGCAGTTGCAGCCGTTGCCTCCCTTTCCCTCTCCTTGCTAATGTATGCAGCTCCAAGGCTCCTCACCATCCTTGCATACTTCCTGCCTCTCCTGGCTTCCACAACTGTGTTTCTGATCTTGATCACGACCTTCGGTGGTGTCTCGACGCTGAACATCGATCCAAATCATCTGCAACATGGCCAGGGGCATGGTGCAGGGCTCCTAGATTATGTTGCAGGCCGTCCTGATGAAAATTATTATGCTCTGGAGGCTCATGGTTATTGATTAATTGAATAATCACTCAAGAGGAACATGTCATGTTACAAACATTCTCCTAATGTACATATTTATCAATCACAGTGATCTTTGTTACAAACCATTGTTCTTTCATTTGATAATGGTAAAAACTCTGCAATGGTTTGGAAGAAATGGAAGGTTAATGCTTAAATGGTAATGTTGATTGAACAAAACCATGCATGTAATCGATTGATAAAAGTAATATATATAAACAAGTTTCATTACTACTAATCAACAAAACTGCGTTATCGTGCAACGGAAGATGTGACCAAATCAGCTTTGGTCAAGGTACCAGAACGATCGACATCAACCCTTTTGAGCCTCTCCATAGCCAGAGCAATATCACCATCATCAATCCTCCCCATCTCCTTCAAAGTGAAAACAATGAACTCAGAAGTACTAACAACGTCGTCGTGATCAATGTCAGCAGCCTCGAGATCCGAGGATGTCACGTTCCTCGCAATAACCCACTCCACAAGCAACCTCTTCCTCTTATCAGTATACCACTCTGCCACATACAGAAACAACTGAGCCAAGCAAATGGTGCTGCTGAGTATCCACACCACAGCAAACAACCTCCCTCCCCACGTCGAGAAGCTCCGATCGCCATAGCCTAGCGTAGTCACCGTGGAACACACGCAATAGATCGCGTCAACGACATCCATGCCTTCGACAGAACACAACATTATGGTGCCAAAAACCATTAGCACTATCATGATTGCAGCTGCAAACAGAGCTTTGTACTCGTGTTTATGTGCTTCCACCTCCTTCATGATTTCGTGGGCTCCCGTTCGTGAATGGAATGCCTTGGCTAGAACAGTCTCTTGCTTCTCCATGAGGTAATCAGCTGCCTTGCTTAGAACAATGCCAACCATGGCCATTCCAGTGAAGGCATAGATGGAGGCGAGGAGCTTTGCTAGGAAGGTGCGAGGGACTAAATCACCATATCCCACGGTTGTCATCGTGACAACACAGAAGTATAAGGCATCTAGGACTGGATTTGTTTGCTTGCCATCGATTTGGTTCATGATTAAGGAGAAAGTGAGGGTTCCCAGGCCTAGGTAGAGGATCAGAAGAATGAAGACAAGGTTGAATTTGAGGGATTGGATTCCAAGCAATGAGTCTAGCCATTGGTTTTGGTTCCCATTTGATTCTTGTTGTTGTGGGTTGTGATCGGACTTTTTTTCGATGATGGGGCTGTGATCAGATTTTTGGTTGATGGGTTGGATAGATCTTGCCCTTCTTTGGAGGGTTGCATCAGAAAGCAGAGGTCTTTCTGCATCATTGTTGTCTTTACTGGCCATCACGATTTTCTACTATTTTGCCTGTTCCAAGGAGAATAACCACAAAAGGTACAAACTTTTCATGAAATGGAGATTGATGATCAGATTGAGACATTCGTGATCTCGTCCTATAAACAGTTTCCAATCAAACCAAAAAATAAAAATGGCAGAAGTACAGAAACCTGGAAGATAATCGAGATCTTGTATTAGATGTAAAACGTTCTATTCTGGTGGGGAGAGCTTGCAAGTGGCGGAAATGACCTGTCACATTTTCTTTAAGGCCCATTGGATTTTCGTTTGCAGCCCAGCTGCAGGCTTGTTGGGCTAACTGGTTCAGTGACTGGTGAAATAGCAACGAAGGGAAAGAAGTGAGCTTTGGCGCTGCGACTTGCCGGGAAGCAGAGAATTCGAAGAGGCGGGTGGAGTGTTGCAGTTTCCAGCTCCGCGATTTCTCTCTTTTCTTCGTCCATTCATCGAACTCAGATTCTTCCAACACTCCATCGGCTACTTCCTCTCTCTCTCGTAAGTCAATTCAATTACTCTTTACTTGTCTTGCGAACTTGCCCCCGCATTCTGTTTCGGTTTCACGTTATAATCAGGGCTCTCTGGCAACTCGAAATCACGAAGGTTGTTAGACGAGTAGACCGATCGATGATGAGATGGGAACTAATATATTCGATAGGTTGAATAACCCATTTCGTAAAGTCTGCTCCTTTCCCGCCCTTCTCTAGGATTTTCTGCACTTGGAATTGGAAGGTTTAGGGATTTGAACTTTGGTGGAACCAAATAGTATCGATATTTGGACTTGGTTCCAAGTGATGATGGTATGTGACTTCAAGAAGAAGGAACTTTTTCAAGATCCCTGAAAAATATTGCATAAAGCAGATGGAGGAAGGAAACTGTTTTGCATTCTCTTGGTCACGAGATTCCAAGTGATGATGGTATGTGCTTCAAGAGTACCAATCACTTACTGAAACCCATTTTAGAGAGTCATCAATCACAAGGGGACGGTCTGAGTATGTTCGTAAAGAACTTCTGAAAGAACTGAGGAGACTTCTTGGTGAGGTTAGAAGAATGCCGGATGATGATGGAGTTGCAACTGAGACAGTGCTTTCATCGGGTGGGTAGTTTTCCGAGACAGGTGAGACCATTTGGGGGAGGAACTTATGAGCTACATGGTCGAAGTTGCTAACCTCACTATCTGAAGAACAGATTTGCAGCAGCAGCCTATTGATGGTTTACTTCCCTACTCAAAGCAAGATGTTCGATTGGAGTTCTGCAAGAGACTAGACCTCCTTGAAGGCCACAATTCAACTAACAATGTCTAATATCATTCTGTAGGAATGTTATTAAAAGCTGAAATCCACTGGAATTGTCACAATGATGCTCTCTCATTGTCAGGAGCACCCTCAGTAAGATGTAAGAACGATCAATTGATCTACCATCTGTTAGTAGGCTCAGAAACTTACTCCTGGAAAGAAATTCAGAGCTGATGCATTTAATGTTCTTTTCTTCTTTCAGGTCACTGGACCATCACTTGGTGGTGGCAGTATAGTGTTCTTTTTGTAAGGGGATTGCAAGGAAGAAATCAAGGATCTTGTGCAATTTGTGGATTCTGCAAGTCATGTTTGTCACACTAATGCCCAGCCTCTTATGGCGATGGTGCTGCAACAATTCACATTGCTATATAAGGTACCCTCAGCATCTACATCACATCTCGATATTTCGAGCTGTGTTTGAGTTCTCTTTCTCAACTTTCTGGGCCTTGTTCTTGATGTTAGGCTTCAGTGGCCGTCAATAGCATAGTGTAGTCCTATCGTCTATATCGGTATTGCTAGTACATGTTCATGATCTTCCCAAGAATGAAAATCTTGTCACTATTTCAACTTTTATTTCCCTTTCTCACCTTCCTGTCATCTACTAAGAGCTTCATGGCCATGTTGAGAAGTGGACTTGCTGAAAAGATGGTTAAAGTTGTGGTTCCGAATATTGCTGGCCAGTTTAGGGCACTCCTTGCTCACAAGTGTCCTCAAATTATAGATTTCATGGGACCTGCACTGCCCATTATTGTTGTGCTACTACTAACTTCTGTACTATCTCAAAGGCCCAATTCTTCCATGAAAGCGTTTTTGTCTTTTGTTTTTATCCTTTGCATGATTGATGCAACTGTGTATGCACTGAGAAACATTCACAATAACATTGACACTATTTCACTTTCACTCTTCTCCAGATGCAGACAGGTGAAAATGAATTCGTTAATTCTTGACTCAAGCAGGCTGATTAAGGGCCTTCTTCTAGATTTCTCCCACAATTTTCCCACAATTTTTGAAGGTACGATAAGCAGCTCAAAATGGTACATTCATTCTATTCAGTTTCAAGCTTTCTTCATCCAAAAGGGACCCTCTTTAACAGTTAGAAAGTCTCTGTCCAAGTGTCCATGATATTATAGTTGTATGATGAAGAAAGCAACAACACAGGAAGAATAATTGAGTTGAAAAGCCAAAGGCGGCATATTTCCAGCCACGTAATCTGGGAACGAGCTTAATGGTCGGCTACAAATTGATAATGTACAATGTAGAACAGGACAAAGATGGACAAACTAGTAAAAGATAACCATCTCTCTTAGGAAGTAGGTGTAGGCATTGATTGACTATCATGGGAAATATCAAGCTCTTGATGGTTACCAAACATTTTAGATTTGTCCATATGAAAAAACTCCAGCCTCTATTGTTTGTGGCTATCAATCTTATTCAATTTTTCGTGATTCATAACTCAGATCTCTACTCCTGCTCTCAGGATGATCATTCAGGAGTGCTGTTTCCTGTTGCCGGTCAGGGTATTCAGATGGACCTGGTTCAAGCATGGATCGAACAAAATCGAATTAAAGCTGGTTGCTTCACACAATCATGAGCGACGGGCACTCTTCTTCATGACGGGATCCACATTCTTGATCGGATTGATCTTCCTTGGCTGGAAAAGAACCACCTTTGCTTCTGTTCTTGGGTTTTCCTCCTGTTTTTCAGTACAATTTCAGGGAGAGTTTTCCTGATAGAAGGGAATGGAAGCTGCTGGACAAATGGTGGTGGGTCAGGAGACCCAGGTTGTCATTTTTTGTTTTAAATTGGTTGTCCCAAATCATGTGTAACAAGGAACTTACTTTAGAAAAGGATAGGTTGGTGTTAAATGAGATTAAAGCTATGATAAGCATGATTAAGCTTTAGAAGATTTCATGGCCATATTACATATTTTTAATATTGGGATTCTTTGTATCAGAATCTGGTTTTAAGTACTGAAGTGTGATTAGTGCCACTCTTTCCAATCATAAAGTTTGGAGTGTTGTGCTTGATTAGTTAAATAATTAGTTCTTTATCATTAGCATTTGACTTTGGACTAGATTATTCTAATTGGAACAAAATCTACAGGATAATAGTGTATTTACATAGCATGGCACCTACATATGGGCAGATTCCTGGCTTTCTCTAGCATTTTCCAGGATCATCATAACATGTTCCACCAAAAATAAAAAAGCTGCAAGCCTGAATCTCTTTCATCACCATCACCATCTCCATCCTTTATCCATATTCCCTTTTTCTCAAAAGCAAGATAAAGACCATAAAAATTACAGGACCAGAGAAAGCTCTGTAGCATCTTCTTCAGGACCATCAAATCTATATAGAATGAGACCATCCCATAGAGTTTGTAGAGATGTACCTTTCTTGTATAACAGGGAAAAGATAATAAGAAACAGATTGAAGTTCGATATTTGTTCATGATGATCATATTAATGATGATAATGATGATTATTCCACATTGAGTACACTAAAGTCTCAAACTAACTCCAACTCAATCATATGATGATGATGAGGTTAACTATCTACTTTCATTACAGCATGGTTTTACACTTAATTTGCTAAACAGCTGCTACGAGTTGCTGTTGGGATTCAATCCTCATCTCTTCCTTCATCTTCCTAATGAACTCCTCAATCCTCCTGTTCAATTCCTCTGTGTTGGATCCTATAGTATCTTCACCGTTCCCTCCCTCCTTTAATACCAATCCTTCTTCATCTTCATGTTCTTCCTCTTCTTGTTCTTGTTCTTCTTCCACTATTTCCCTTCTCACCTCTTCTTGTTGCTGGAATTGATCATTGAGATCTCCATCCTCAACCTTATCCACCTCTTCATTATCATCGTCGCCACCATCCTCATTTCTTACTTCTTCCTCTTCCTCTTCCACCAGATTATCCGTGGCTGCTGTTGAATCCAGTACAATATCCTCATGATCATGATCATCAGAAGCTGATGAAGAAGAATGGCTGGCTTTCTTTGTGGCAGTGGAGGAGGTAACAAGGAAAGCAAGGATGCCATTGCATATCAAGAACATATACTTCCTCTCCAAGCTGTGTGTGAAGAATGAGGAAAAGAATGGATTGAATGAAACATAGCTACTACTATGAGCAGTATTGGCTGCTGCAGCAGAAGAGGAGGAAGAAGAAGAAGAAGAAGAAGAAGCTGTTGCTAACGGAAGGAAGGAAATGAGCGTAGAGAAGAGGGAGAATGTGATCAGGAGCTGTAAGCTCCTCCTCAACAAGTTGTTGTACTTGTACTTGCTGCTGATCATAACATGATGGAGCTGATGGTGTTGTTGTTGATGAGAAGGATCCATTTCCATGGATCTGTTGCTGAGAGATTTCAGAATGTGGAGGGTTTGTGGAATGATGGGGAGAGTTTTGAGCTTGTGTGTTTTTCCAAGTGAATGGAGAAAGGTAGAATGCAATGGTGGGATCATTCATTGTTACCATTTTATACTACTCCCATGGCCCCAGTTAGCTATTTATGGCCAGGGACATGTTACTGTTATTTGCTCCTAAACTCTGGGCTGCATCAACCATATATGATATATCTATCAAGCATGTACAATAAACCTTTGAGTTTGGAATGCATACAAATACGATATCGTATCTCTGAAGATAAAACTAGAAGATTAATATGGAGAAATAAAGGAACAGTTATTTGTGCAATGAACGAATGGGAGGCCACTTTGAAGCTTCTAGTAGATAGCTAGCCTGGTATCACTGTAGATCAATTCATCTTATAGTAACAGATGTCAATAGTTGCAGAAATTACTGGACCATTGGAGTTCAATGTAAATCCACTCTACCGAGCCTGGTCTCCATTCTTATTCGTGCAATTCGTATAATTAGTAATTCAAGTTATTGAAAAAACACATTTGTAAACATTTCAATTCGAGTTGTTGGAAAATCACATTCCATATAGTATTCATTACATGAGTGCCTTCAAACTAAAAATCAGAAGCTTCCGCTGCATTCATATCAATATACTATGCTTGAATCAATGGTTAATAATCCCAACTAATTCAATACACACATTTGGGTTACAGTAATTGGACAGAGTCTATGAGTTGCTGCAGCAGCTTCTGCTGTTTGGATTCAGACATCATTCTTACCTTCATCTTCCTAATCAACTCATCAAACCTCGAGTTCATTTCCTCTGTGCTACATCCATTCTCTTCACCATTCCCTCCCTCTCCCTCCAGTTCTGACCCTTCTTCTTCTTCCTCCTCTTCCTCTTCCACTTCTTCTACTTCTACTCCTTGATGCTGAATTTGAGTATTACAATCTCCATCTTGAACCTTCACCTTCTCTTCTGAAGCAACCTGATTATGGGCATCCTGATCACACTCTTCCACATCAGAATCATCATCAATCTCATTACAATCATCAACAGCGGAGGAACCCTCCACCGCCAGTTCCTCCTCCTCCTCCTCATGATGATGAGCATAAGAAGCCGAAGATTCTGACGAAATGTTGCTTCTAGTACTATTGCTATTGGTGGTGGATGTGGAGGAGGAAGCTGACGATGAGGAAGTGGCAAGGAAAGCAAGGATCCCATAGAAGACCAAGAACATGTACTTCCTCTCAAGGGTATGCGTGAAGAAGGACGAGAAGAAAGGATTGAACTTGATGTACACATAACTCTTTGCAATCGTACCACTAGTGACCCATGAGACAGAGATCAGCAGAGAGAAGAGGGAGAATGTGGTCACCAGCTGCAAGCAGCTCCTTCTCATGAACAAGTAATCACCCACAGCTAGGAGCCTTTGATGGCTATTAGCAGAATCCATTCTCTCTTTTTTAAGGATTTCTGATGAACTTGTCGGAGATTCTGGAATGTGGGTTTCGTAAAATGAAGGGGAAAGTTGTGAGCTTTACCTAGCTTTTGGTTAATGCGAGTGAATCGGGTTGAAGAGAGGATAGAGGTTGAGGAAGGAAAGAAGTTAGCTTTCTTCATTCTTCTCTTTTCCATCTGCCTTAGATATAGAGATGGTGAGCGTGAGTGGCTTGTTACTGTTTCAGTAGTGGTTATTGCTTGCTGGCTGGCGGCTGCTGCTCAACTTTCAGCCTCAGATCTTTATTACTTCTTTCACACCTTTCTCAACTTGTAGCAAGATATTTTGGCTATGGAGTAGGATATTTGAATAGTAAACTTGAATTTTTGGGCTCATATCAATGATGAAATGCAAAGACTTATGAAGCAAATCAGCTTAATTCCATATTTTAGTTATAAAAAAAGAATCCGTGTCGACCATGGTTTTGTTGGTAGCAGTTACTCTGTTCTTGGACAGGTAGGTAAATGTAGACAGCCAACTCTCTTGTCTGTGTTTGTCGATGATGTCGGCCACCCACTTAATGGGTAAAAAGCCCAGCCCATATTATCCCGCGGCCCAATAGAATGGGCTGAAGAGTTTGGGCCAAGTATCATCATTCATAACCACGATTCTGATCAATTCCCGTCACCGGCTCCGGCGACGGAACATTTTGTATGGTAATTAGTAATTACTAATCACTGCTAATCATTCCATTCTCTTAAAACCCAAAAACACACAACAGCAGTTAATACATATAATTCTTCGAATTTCTTCCTTGCCCTCTCGAGTTTTTAGTTTCCGTGTTCAGTACTGGTCGGGCCAGAGGAATGCGCCGATGGCGTAGGCACGCTTCTCCTCCACGGTGCCGTCGAATCGGAGACCGTACTGCGACAACAGCAGATCCAGCCTCCATTCTTCCATCGATTCGTAGTCCCGCTTGCTGTACCTCGGGTAGTGGAGCGGCATCCTGAACCCTGTTTCCGCCGGCGGAGTCCTGTTAGCGTCATCGGTCTTGCATCCGGCGCCGCCGAGGACCTGGCACGCCGAGTGGAGAAGGCCTCTCATTAGTTCCGCCATTGTTGAGAATGTAAGAGAGGGAGAGAAAATTGAAAGTGGGAAATTGGGGAGAGGAAGTTTCAAAGCGAGGTTGAAGGGAGGGGGAGCGGGGGGATTTATAGTGGTGGTGTTTAGGCGGCTAGGTTTCCGTGAGCGGCTTGAAATGAATTAATTAATCAATTAGGGGGTTGTTTTTTTTTATTTGTTAAGAAAAGTGCTTAAAAAGGCGATTAACAACTAATTTCGTTGGGTTTGAGGTTACAGTAAGCAACCTCCGTTTTTCTTGTTCCGGGCATACCTTTTCCTTGTGCTTGCGGGAGAATATTTTTTTCTGGGGGGCTAGCATGGTTCGTTTGAAGACAGCTAATTCATTGTTGTTGTTACGAATTATTAATAGCCTAAGTAATAAAATAATTACAACCAACAATGTCTTAATTAGTTCACACCAATCGAGATATTATTGAAGTGATTTACATTATCATTTTTAGTGATTTTTGGATTTTAATTCAATACATTTTAAGCCGTCGCATCTTGTTGTTTCGTTAAAGCGAGAGCAACGTAAACGATATAATAACTTGGAACGTAATTTAAAAAGATTTTTTTAAAAAAAGAATTGGGACTTAATTTATGGGGACTTATATGTGTTTTTATGTAAAACGGATGAGTACGAACACGAGAGAAAAAGTAAATACAAATTTAACAGTTGCTTGTTATATTGTTAATTAGCAAAACACGTTGTGTCTAATACCATTGCAAAACAACCCATGTTCGTATTGAGAATTTTGATATGCATGTAGGGTGGAATGGAATGGAAGTTGGTCCATCTATTCATGCCCTGGGTGTTGAAAATAAGAAGAGGTGTTCAATATTTTTCAAAAAAAGGAAAGAACCAATTGAAGTTGTACATACCATGTAACTTTCCCTACACATAACATTAGCTAGCCTCCACACTTTGTCTCGCTATGTACATTACGAAACATGTTGTGTCTAGAAGAATGTAGAATGGCGTAAATGCGATGGTCACAATCATTCATTGGAATACATCCCCTTCAATTGAATTAATTAAGGAACTTTCTACGTACATAGCTTTTTTGGGCCTATAATTAATCAAAATTGCGGGGTTGCAATTCCTCTGGCCGTAGCCAAGTTTATAAGCAATAAAAAATACAGCTAGGGAAAATGCCATCCCAAAATATATTGGCCCAATTCGGTGCTTAATTGACTTAATCATCGGCGCAGAATATGATCACTAGACTTTATTATCGGTGGAGAATAGCCTCGAGCCGAATCCGTGATCTGTAGCCTCCAAAATCGATAGAAAATGGCATTTCGGAAAAATCGCCCGAAATCTGTGATGGTACCCCTTTGGAGTCTGCCAAAAATGGACCCGAAAGAAATCCGACAAAATTGGCCCTGGATGGACTTAATCGTCGTTGAAGAATAGCCCCAGGCCGAATCCACAATCTTTATCCTTCAAAATCCAAGGAAAATGGCCTTTTGAAAAAAATTGCTCAAATAATTACGAAAATGTCATCCCAAAATATATTGGCCCAATTCGGTGCTTAATTGACTTAATCATCGGCGCAGAATAGGATCAATAGACTTTATTATCGGTGGAGAATAGCCTCGAGCAGAATCCGTGATCAGTAGCCTCCAAAATCGATAGAAAATAGCATTTCGGAAAAATCGCCCGAAATCTGTGATGGTACCCCTTTGGAGTCTGCCAAAAATGGACCCGGAAGAAATCCCCCAAAATTGGCCCTAGATGGACTTAATCGTCGTTGAAGAATAGCCTCAGGCCGAATCCACCATCTTTATCCTTCAAAATCCAAGGAAAATGGCCTTTCGAAAAAAATTGCTCAAATAATTACGAAAATGCCATCCCAAAATATATTGGCCCAATTCGGTGCTTAATTGACATAATCATCGGCGAAGAATAGGATCAATAGAATTTACTATCGGTGGAGAATAGCCTCGAACCGAATCCGTGATCTGTAGCCTCCAAAATCGAAAGAAAATGGCATTTCGGAAAAATCGCCCGAAATCTGTGATGGTACCCCTTTGGAGTCTACCAAAAATGGACCCGGAAGAAATCCGCCCAAATTGGCCCTGGATGGACTTAATCGTCGTTGAGGAATAGCCTCAGGCCGAATCCACCATCTTTATCCTTCAAAATCCAATGAAAATGGCTTTTCGAAAAAAATTGCTCAAATAATTACGAAAATGTCATCCCAAAATATATTGGCCCAATTCGGTGCTTAATTGAATTAATCATCGGCGCAGAATAGGATCAATAAACTTTATTATCGGTGGAGAATAGCCTCGAGCCGAATCCGTGATCTGTAGCCTCCAAAATCGAAAGAAAATGGCATTTCGGAAAAATCGCCCGAAATCTGTGATGGTACCCCTTTGGAGTCTGCCAAAAATGGACCCGGAAGAAGCCGCCCAAATTGGCCCTGGATAGATTTAATCGTCGTTGAAGAATAGCCTCAGGCCGAATCCACCATCTTTATCCTTCAAAATCCAAGGAAAATGGCCTTTCGAAAAAAATTGCTCAAATAATTACGAAAATGCCATCCCAAAATATATTGGCCCAATTCGGTGCTTAATTGACTTAATCATCGGCGCAGAATAGGATCAATAGACTTTATTATCGGTGGAGAATAGCCTCGAGCCGAATCCGTGATCTGTAGCCTCCAAAGTCGAAAGAAAATGGCATTTCGGAAAAATCGCCCGAAATCTGTGATGGTACCCCTTTGGAGTCTGCCAAAAATGGACCAGGAAGAAATCCGCCCAATTGGCCCTGGATGGACTTAATCGTCGTTGAAGAATAGCCCCAGGCCGAATCCACAATCTTTATCCTTCAAAATCCAAGGAAAATGGCCTTTTGAAAAAAATTGCTCAAATAATTACGAAAATGCCATCCCAAAATATATTGGCCCAATTCGGTGCTTAATTGACTTAATCATCGGCGCAGAATAGGATCAATAGACTTTATTATCGGTGGAGAATAGCCTCGAGCAGAATCCGTGATCAGTAGCCTCCAAAATCGATAGAAAATAGCATTTCGGAAAAATCGCCCGAAATATGTGATGGTACCCCTTTGGAGTATTCCAAAAATGGACCCGGAAGAAATCCGCCCAAATTGGACCTGGATGGACTTAATCGTCGTTGAAGAATAGCCTCAGGCCGAATCCACCATCTTTATCCTTCAAAATCCAAGGAAAATGGCCTTTCGAAAAAAATTGCTCAAATAATTACGAAAATGCCATCCCAAAATATATTGGCCCAATTCGGTGCTTAATTGACTTAATCATCGGCGCAGAATAGGATCAATAGACTTTATTATCGGTGGAGAATAGCCTCGAGCCGAATCCGTGATCTGTAGCCTCCAAAGTCGAAAGAAAATGGCATTTCGGAAAAATCGCCCGAAATCTGTGATGGTACCCCTTTGGAGTCTGCCAAAAATGGACCAGGAAGAAATCCGCCCAATTGGCCCTGGATGGACTTAATTGTCGTTGAAGAATAGCCTCAGGCCGAATCCACCATCTTTATCCTTCAAAATCCAAGGAAAATGGCCTTTTGAAAAAAATTGCTCAAATAATTACGAAAATGCCATCCCAAAATATATTGGCCCAATTCGGTGCTTAATTGACTTAATCATCGGCGCAGAATAGGATCAATAGACTTTATTATCGGTGGAGAATAGCCTCGAGCCGAATCTGTGATCTGTTGCCTCCAAAGTCGAAAGAAAATGGCATTTCGGAAAAATCGCCCGAAATCTGTGATGGTACCCCTTTGGAGTCTGCTAAAACGGACCCGGAAGAAATCCGCCCAAATTGGCCCTGGATGGACTTAATCGTCGTTGAAGAATAGCCTCAGGCCGAATCCACCATCTTTATCCTTCAAAATCCAAGGAAAATGGCCTTTCGAAAAAAATTGCTCAAATAATTACGAAAATGCCATTCCAAAATATATTGGCCCAATTCGGTGCTTAATTGACTTAATAATCGGCGCAGAATAGGATTAATAGACTTTATTATCGGTGGAGAATAGCCTCGAGCCAAATCCGTGATCTGTAGCCCTCCAAAATCGAAAGAAAATGGCATTTCGGAAAAATCGCCCGAAATCTGTGATGGTACCCCTTTGGAGTCTGCCAAAAATGGACCCGGAAGAAATCCGCCCAAATTGGCCCTTGATGGACTTAATCATCGTTGAAGAATAGCCTCAGGCCAAATCCACCATCTTTATCCTTGAAAATCCAAGGAAAATGACCTTTCGAAAAAAATTGTTCAAATAATTACGAAAATGCCATCCCAAAATATATTGGCCCAATTCGGTGCTTAATTGACTTAATCATCGACGCAGAATAGGATCAATAGACTTTATTATCGGTGGAGAATAGCCTCGAGCCGAATCCGTGATCTGTAGCCTCCAAAATCGAAAGAAAATGGCATTTCGGAAAAATCGCCCGAAATCTGTGATGGTACCCCTTTGTAGTCTGCCAAAAATGGACCCGGAAGAAATACGTCCAAATTCGCCTTGGATGGACTTAATCGTCGTTGAAGAATAGCCTCAGGCCGAATCCACCATCTTTATCATTCAAATTCCAAGGAAAATGGCCTTTCGAAAACAATTGCTCAAATAATTACGAAAATGTCATCCCAAAATATATTGGCCCAATTCCGTGCTTAATTGACTTAATCATCGGCGCAGAATAGGATCAATAGACTTTATTATCGGTGGAGAATAGCCTCGAGCCGAATCCTTGATCTGTAGCCTCCAAAATCGAAAGAAAATGGCATTTCGGAAAAATCGCCCGAAATCTGTGATGGTACCCCTTTGGAGTCTGCCAAAAATGGACAAGGAAGAAATCCGCCCAAATTGGCCCTGGATGGACTTAATCGTCGTTGAAGAATAGCCTCAGGCCTAATCCACCATCTTTATCCTTCAAAATCCAAGGAAAATGGCTTTTCGAAAAAAATTGCTCAAATAATTACGAAAATGCCATTCCAAAATAT